CGGCGGGTCGTTCGATTGTCCTGAACATTTCGAAACGCTCTAACAGTAGGAAAACACAAAATGGTGATCGCTCGTACCTCTCGTCTGGCTTCCTAATGAATGGAGGAAGTGATCGCGCATGCTCAAAATCACAACTGCAGCGCTGCGGCGGAAAAAAATTAAAACGGTACTTACTTTAAAAACACGCCTCGTATACGTAAGTAGCATAAATCATTACATTATCTCTTCCAAGTGCCTTACCATGTATATATTCCTTTTGTCATAATTCTACATATGTATATATTTCATAATTAATATTTTTTTTCATAATGCCATGCAAAGCCAACTATATATCTCTTTGCGGACATTAACGACACTTTAAACGCGTATGAGCGATAATATTAAACAAACAATTAATATTATATCAGACAAGTCATCAATTCCAAGAGCAAAAGTCAAAATGATATCATTGTGACGTCAACATGACGGGAAAACATCAGAGTTTAATCATTGAAACTGTATAACTTCACAATGACTATACAGTGACTCGTCATAAAATCATTGTAAGTGTATAACAATATTTTGACTTTCAGGATTCTAATTCAATATTCATATTTTTGAAAATATAATTTTTGAGAGAGACTGCCTGGCACTAATTCATTGAAATTATCTTATATGTATACAGGGTGTCATTCCACATCCAACAAAAGTTTTAAGACGGTAGAACGGATCGAGATGAACAGAAAAGTTCTGTGTCATTTTGCAAATTTTCCAATAGATAACGAGTAATTAATTATTAAAAATTGTCTTAGCCCGGCCTACCGCCCAATTCAAGAGCGTGGCGAGATGTGACCGTCCGATGATCGATATTGCTTTGCGCATGAAAAGTTGTTTTTCGCAATTGGCAATGGCTACGCATGAGCGGCGCGTAAAATATGTAAGTAAACTAATAAATGTAGATGTAGATCATATAATCGGTTAATTTCGCTTTAATTAATTTTTTCTGATCGCAAACCTAGAATAAATCATGTATTTTTAAAATCAGACAGTAAATTGAAAAAATATTTAACGGAAACATAATTTCATTTGAATGGTAATTTTAACGTTTTGAAGTAAAATTACAAATCACTTCGTATTTTAACAACGTAATTCGAAGGTTAAAAATGACCACTAACCTAACCACAAAACAAGAAGAAGGTGAAGACAAAACATGTGCGCTTAAGTGTGGTGCAGAAATTAAAGTTACTCGAGAAATTGGAACAAAGCATCTCAGTGACAGATGTTTGTAAAATTTATGGCGTACACCCACAGACGGTCTCGAATATCAGGAAATCAAAGCCCAAATTACAAAAGTTTATTTTAACACACAATATTAATAGCTTTAAATTACATGCTTCTACAATAGGGAATAAAATTCGCATGAATTTTGGACTAAATAAAAATTTAGATAAAGCTCAGTATAAGTGGTACAGTCAACAGAGATCCAGTGGTATTAATGATTCGAAATCCCCAGTTGAAATCTAAGTTTGAGGCTCTTCTAAGACATATAAAACTCCCCACACAGCACGGGGAACTCCCAGAGAGCTCCTGGGGAGCTCTTAAAATTTTTCATAAGCTTAACTTGAACTTCAAACGAACTCGCACAGAGCTCCTTGGGAGCTCCTATGTCCGCTTTTGAGAGCTCCTTAGAAGTTTTATTTAAGCTCCCTGCGAGCTTTATTTAAGCTCGCAGGGAGTTGAGAAGTCACGTTTTAAAATGTACGACATACGACACACGACAGGTAAGTACGACATGCCACCTTGGACACTTGGGGAAGATTGTAGCAAAATACTGAAAAAAGGTACACCTAATATGACATAGTATAGTACAGAGTGCTACCCCGATGAAATGCAGGACACCATATACATATATGGATAATCAATCACATTTTATATAATATTAATGTTTTTCTTATTCGTATATTACATAATTTGATATAAAAATTGATGTAAAAAATACTGAATAATGTTACTAAATTTCAACGTAATTTTTAGTCTATAAAAATCTTACAGGTACTTTAGCTCAGCGAAATAAACTCCCTGGAAGCTTATTTTATCGAATTTTGTAAGCTTCCCGGGAGCTCAGCGAAATGAACTCCCTGGAAGCTTGTTTTGTCGAATTTTGTAAGCTTCCCGGGAGCTCAGCGAAATGAACTCCCTGGGAGCTTAATCGGAGCTTTGTGCTGTGTGGGTCAGTATCAAGGGTACTAAACATTGGCTGCTGCGTTTTAAAAAGAGACATGGCATTATTATTTCTTTGAGCGATAAATCCTGTAGTGAACCTTCAGAGTCAGAAAAGAAAAACAGTAACGAAGACCCACTTCTTCCAGAATAATCTATAAAAATTAAGAATTTGCCTTCACCCTCAGCTTCATCCCCAATTGCTTCTACACATCACAACATTTCGGAACAATTTGTAAAAATTAAGAATTTGCCTTTTTCGTCATCTTCGCCTCCAACTACTTCTACACCTTCCAAAATTTTCGGAGAATCTGTAAAAGTTGAGAATTCCTCTTCGGAATCATGTTCGTCTTCAACTGATATTTATCACAATTACGTTTGGTCAGAATATGATATTAAATCTGAAGGTTCCCCATCACCTTCAGATGATAAATCCTCAGATGACAAATAAAGACTTGCTATCACTAAAGTTACAGCAAAACTGTCTCTCTTCGACTACTATCTTAATCAACAAAGAGTATTTATAATGATATAATTTAACAATTTTATATTGTATAGTTCTGTATTCCATATTAAAGCAATTATATTAAACCCATTAAGAAAAGATAAAAATTGCATTTTGTAACATTATATACAAGAAATACATTAAGATGTTATAAGTTTCACAGCCTTTACTTGTGTGTTGTTTAATTACTATGGATTGGATTATTTGAAATAGGAAAATATTAAATCCACATTGCTTAAATTCACAAGCTGAAATATAAATATTTGTGGGCTACCACTATATAACGCAATACTTATAACAATATATTTTATTTCTTTTATTGTTCATTATACTTAATTTCTCTTTTTTCTTCCTTCTAATAATCAATATTAATTCTTATTCCTAATATTGTCTCTATTGCGTGTCGGCCCTTAAGCCTTGATTTGTTTTAAGGATTTTTAAATGAACCTAACAAATAAAAACAGGGTACATATGTATGAACTTTAAGTTCCAATACGTGCGAGTTATGTCACATTTATTTTAGGTATCGTGGAATAAACTCGTTGTATTTCGATTTTAGTCTCTCTCAAAGTCTTCATGTTGTATACGGAGTAATTCTGAAATTTACAGTCCGACATGGAATTTTACTCTTTTGTTTGTGATATCGCAGTATTTCAGTAAAGTGGAGTGTGCGCAATAGAGAATTTCATGATCCTATATTGGGTTCGATTTGCATAATAAAAGTGTTTTTATTTTTCTCCTACGTGCCCCATGAGTAGAGATATTGCAATGCAAAGTTCACATTGTCAGAGATTTCCGTGTTAAAAAGATTAAGTTCGAACAATATAATAGTGAAGTAAAAACGGTTCAGTAAAAAATATTTTTGTAAAAATCTTAAAATTTGAACAGTCGCGCGACTCTGAAGGTTTCAATTCGCAAAAAGGTGTCGAGGAAATGAAACGGAATAAAAGGCTGGGATATGTGAAAATATATTTAATATTATACAAAACAACAACGTCAGCGAAAACAAAATCATTTCCGAATGAACAAAACTTTTCCTTCATGTACATACAATATAATTCGCCGTGTGATTTCTCTGCAATCCAGAATAATATCGTTGTAAATGCTTCTCCATTTCACGGAATGCCCATTAGAATGGGGCATTATCACTTTCTTTTTTTAATTGACACTGTCTGTCCGTATTTCCGTCGATAAATTACGATTGCCTGAGTTTAAAGGACGACTTAATCCGGCATCTCTTTGTTAATCTACTTCTATAATGCACGATGTACTATACTAACGAACAAAGTAATCAACGCACATTCTGGACTAGGTCGCGGGTCAGTCGAAATATTACGCTGAGAAAATTTTCCATCGGATAAACCAATGACGTAAATGGTTAATTTTTCCGATTACGTTTTCCGATTAAATTATGGATACATTCGATGAAATTTATCCGACGAAAATGCAGTTACCGATGAAATTTGATTAAAAAACCGATCACTTTTTCATCGGATATACAATTTAATCGGATATATCCGTTTGTCAACAAGTCTCGAGACAGAAAACTGCTCATAAGGTTTGTATATTTACATATGTTACACAAAGCTCGTTAGAGAATTCAGGACGACTTAAAAACGGCGCAATCACTGAGTTCAGATTTGTCGACGATAATGTCGATTTGATAAATGATAATTACCATATCTGAATAACGCAACGATCCACGTAAAATATTTTCTCGCACATTTTAAAAAGTGAAATTGCATCGGTGTACTTTAATGTTCGATTGAATGGTGTTTCTCCAAATGAGAAAAAGAATTCCGACATTTCCGATCTTCGTTGCGCCTAACCCCTCGCGCTGGAATAACGTGAGGCACGACGAATCTGTATAAAATCTACACACAGAAATGAATTCAAATAAGAGTTGGCTGTTTTGGACTGACTGAATACATACGCCTGTGAGTTAATTGCCAGCACAAGAGGTTAATATCTAAATCAAATAACATCTAAATGTCTTGAAATATTATTTCTCTGATTGACATTTTCTTAAATCTTCATGCTTCATGCATATCTATTTTATTAAAAAAGTAACCGCGTGATATTTAAAAATGTATAATATAAATGAACAAGAAATAAAATTCATAAGGCTCTGACGTGAAATCACGAATACAAAGTAATAAAGGATATAAGAGCCAAGACATGATGTTAGTGTTTAAATGATTTTAATTTTTAAATTTATTGCGAAAAATTTACCTCAGTCAGGGTTTGAGCCTGGACCTTCCTCTCACTAGACGGGCGTCTCAAACATCCTTGTCTTGGCTCTTATATCCTATATTACTTCGTAAATCACAAAAATTTCATAAAGTTGTGATGTCCGGTTTTCAAAATTAGGATGCGGCATTGAAATTTTATTACGTACAACAATTTTAAAACATATTGACGCACGGTTTTAAGAATTGGAAAAATCAGTTCTACTGAATAGATTAATTTTAAGTTCATTTAATTCGTCATTTTTCTTCGTAAAAACGTAAAAATCTGTTTTTATTTGTTTTCTTCTAGAGTATCTTCGACGGGTTAGTGTGATAGATCTTGCAAAACGATTGCATGTCGAACGCGATGTTCAATTTCGACGGATATAATTGTCGATCGGTTAACGTCGCCGACGTTCGAGTTTTGAACGCGACGACGACATCGTGAGTATTTTTAATAATTTAACATCACAAGTTTAGTCGTACATTTGCACTTGGCGTTCGTTCTCTTGTTCTAACCCAATCCTAAGACGTACTTTGGTAAATTGTACGCGAATCTGGGGATGGCCATAACCACGGACATTCTGTAAAAGAAATTTCGATTATTATGGCATTTATTTTAGTCATCAAGTTTGATAAAAAATTTTCAAAATTCCAACGAGTAAAAATTAATCACTGCTCTTATTGCGCGACAATAAATTTCTTGGATTCAAGTTTTCGAAGATACAAGAATGAAAAACTTTCAAAAATTTAATTTTGTATGCGGGAAATATCTGCTATAAATTTTGTCGATGAACTGCCAACAGATTCTGTTATATTTTTGCTTATCGACAAAATTTGTAGCAGACTTTTAAAATCTCGATAGGTTTGTCTATCAGAAGTAATTACTGAGGTTAGTACGGTTCATTTACACACAGGAGTAATTTGTTAAATCATTTAATTCAATATTAAGGGGATGCTGGAGTCGTTCTGTTTTACCGACAGTTTTTATACATACAGGGTGATGCCCATTCTACACCTATGCCCATTCTACACCTAGGGATGATCCTACTTGTGGCTCATCCGATACCCCTTCTATACCTAAAGCTAATCCTACTTGCAGCTTATCCGAGGGAGTAGTATAAAGTGTAAAAGGTTTACACTTTGGTTGGTTTCCAATCGTACCAAAGTACAACTACAGTGTACCCTTTTACACTTTAGTAGTAGAGCAGTATTGCGTGTAGTAATAGATGCCGGATGGAATAGATGCCAATACACAAAATTCGGCATCTATTACTACACACAACACTGCTCTACTTATCATTCTACAGCTGTATTTGCATTTATAAACTTTTATCTAAACCTATCTTTTTTTCTAGACTTTTAATCTTAGTTCCAATTACACAATATTGTTCTTGCATGTTGTCTCTAGGTCGCTCCGGTCTCATTTTGCAGATAGAAACTATAGAATTTTTATATTAAGCAAATATTATCGTCATGTGACAGCTCTACATGCCAAAAATTAATGGAATATTTAGTTTTTTTTCGTTTTTGATATAAAGTCGAGTAGGCTGACTTTCATTTTTGTGCGAACTTTAATCGTGTACAAAAAATGTCGGTAAAACAGAGAGACTCCAGCATCACCAATGTTAAAAAGGCTGCAGCGTGTATTTTTTCGTAGCTTAAACAATTGCTGCCTTGGAAATAATGCGGCTGGTGCCACTGCCCAGTGAACACTGAGCATCAGTCACCTGTGTTATATTACATTTACATTGTTGAGAAATTGTGACCTAAACGCAATGTGATTGAAGCTCAGCGTTTACTGGGTTGTGAGCATGGAATTTATCTATAATTTATATACACATGTGCTACTTACTATAATACGCAGTGTAGAAGATAGACATGTCATCGGTTGTTACATTCCGCCACCAAATAAGCCTACTGTATTTTTATGTATGTACAACATTAAACAATTGACGTTTTCGACGAGACAAAGTTGACTCAAATGCCGCGGTGCGCTTATTCTTATTATCAGATTAAGTGCTTTTAAGAAAAACATTTTTGCACGTTGTGAAACAATTTGTTCGATACCGTTTATGCATGATTCTGGACGACGCTGAAATTAATTCAAATGGTTAAAAGGTATTTACAGTATACATCGGACAACCCCAACACCGTTTCTACACATCATTCATTTTATTGGAAAAATTGTCATGTTAAGGAAAAATATATTTATAACGTATATCTATAAGGTTTCAGTCAATAAGGCGCACGATTAAAACTACGTAACATCTCATAATTCGTAGCAGGAATTATGTTCTGTCTCTTTTTTTTTTAATTTCGTTATGGTCGACACTCGAAGGAGCTTGCATAAAGACGCGATTAGCTTGAATTACGACGTGACTTTCGCGAAGTAAACTCTGAAACATATGAAAAGATTTCGTATTTTCCTTTGTTATCACACTTCTCACTTGAAGAAGTTAGTGCCTTCAATTTCTCATGCAAATGTTACACGATTATTTACATGTCTAATCAATTATGGAAGATTCTTTCGAGTGCGATATGCTATAAACTTATTACACCTTTCACACACACATGCGTTTTAGGTAAAGCATTAGCAGTCTCGGTGCTACTAAATGCAGTTGGTCGACATTCATTTATTAGGCCTTTTAAGCTAGCTGTTGAGCAGGACAGTAAACTTACAGTTTGCTAAATGTATTATTGAACGAACGTTTGATCGTGTAAAAATCTGTCGTCTCTTATTACTAACTTTTACGTGTTATATTAATTAATAAGCGGGAAAGAAGTTTTTCTAAACAAAACTACACTAAAATAATATGTGCAAACGCCACTAATGTAGATAAGGAAGGTTCAATCAACTGTGTTAGGTGTATAAAAACTTGATGATATCTAACAAGGAACATATCACACCGTGCGTGGAATACAAAAGCAGATTCTCGATTGTAAACGTTAAAACGTTGCTACACAAGTTTGAGACATGTCCTCTTATTTTTGTAAGTAAGAGAAAGATCAGATCTGTTAGAATTGAGAAACAGACGAGTGCGGATCGGTTTGCGAAATAATGGCATATTCATTCGCAGCAGTTGATTAATTGACTTCATTAGTTTTAGTGTTGCCGGAATACATTTGAAGCCATAAATCCTTTACATACGATAGTGCGAGTCCCTTGTAGATCCACGCACGCCAACCCGTCCTCGTTTCATCGTCAATCCTCGCTTCCAGGCTCTGGCACAGCGCCTTACGGTCGTGGCTTCTTCCGCTGCGCAGATCGCAGAGCAATCTCTTGCGACACTCGTCATTGCACGCCGGTCGCACCGGGGAGTTTTTGTAATAATGTCTGCAAAGAACAAAGGCAAATGTGTTGTATTACCTTTTTCAAGGAGAATCAAACCCACATATCTTATACATATTGTAGAATAGTAAAACAAGTTTTGTATTAATTTTTTGTATTAATATAAATAAAAAAAAATTAATAAAAAGAAAATAACCGGGAGCCTTGTAATAGTAATCGATATTACAAGACTCCCGGTTATTTTATTTTAAGAAATGACGGTATTAATCATCGTATAATGCGAGCACAATTACTTGTAATAGAGATCAAAGAGGGCCGGCTCGTTAGTCATCTTGTCGATCAGCGAGTCCCAGTCCTTCGGCAGAAGCGATGCCATTTGGTAGGCTTGCCGCACGCTGTACAGCTTATGCCAGATCGGGTAATCATAAAGATTCGCCTCCTTTAGATTCATGACCCAGCTCTCGTGATCGACTACCATCTGGAATGCGCGCGTCAGTTAGAAAATGATAAATAACGCTTAAGACACGCGTACAGGATATTTGCTAATTCACCCGAGGGCAAATATTTCTGATCTATTCCACTAATCGTTCGTTTACTCACTCTTGTAGTCTTGGCGTGGTCTCCATCGACGTAATATATCCTGTAGCCGGGATTGAGATCATAATACGGCGAGACCGAAGGACCGATGTAGGCGATGCTGAGCGCTCTACCAAGGTCTGATGTATCATAGAATATCTGGAACTCGTCGTAATGCGTGTGCCCGAAGAATTGCGCCGTGATAGTTGATTCATACCTGGACAAAGGCGGAAGGAGGACATTTGTCATCTGATACCATAAAGCTCGATAATATCTTGTAAACGATCAAGTACGAACCGGTTGATTATGTGATAATAATTTCTCGACCACACCTTGAGACAATCCGAATGGCCTGGCGGTATGTGGCCGATTATGTGCACCTTCTCGCCGTTAATCTCCGCGCCTTGCAGCTCGTACACGAGCCACTGCAACTCGCTGACCGGATCCGTGCTGTTGATGAGTAGCCACCAGTTCTTGTTGTTGCAGTAGTTCATATTTACGGACAATATTCTGAAGCCCGGACGAACCAAGACCGAATAGAAAGCGCCGCGACGCACGGTATGGGACACACCGGCCGGCAGCCAAAGTCGCCAGTGTTTATCGAGCTCGTTGTACAGCCACGAGATACTGTTCTCTTCAGGCACAAAAGGCGGTGGGAAACTGAAAAGAGCGGAAATAAATCCCGAGTCCCAGTGGAATCACTTGAGAAAGGATTGAAAACAGTATGCCTAAAAATACGCCTCGCGATTCTCCCTTCTTTCTAAAGACGTTTTGTATAAGAAGAAGAACTTGTTATTAGAATAGAGATAATAATACAAAATAAGCATCCCGGAATTCATTCAAGCAAGTATTTTGAAATACTCCCAGCGAGAAATGACTCGTCGATCGATGTCAAAACGTTGTCGAAATTGACGTCGACACCGTCGAATTGATATCGAATCGACATCGTTTCGACGAATCATTTCTCGCTGGGACGATAGAATCTGTTAGAAGGCAACGTCTTTGTTACGTCCGAGTGAGACCTGGAAATAAATCCGAGGTGATATTCTCTAGAAAAGTGAAAGAGTGCAAGCTTATATGCATGTGGCGGATGTACCTGTTGACCGGTGCACTCTCGTGATTTCCCAAAGCCGGAAAAATCGGTATTCCTGGAAACGTCGCTACCATCTGCGCGACCGTGTCACGCAGGACTTTTAGATTCTCTTCTCGCGTTTGGTTCCACACATCGTGGGGCGGTAGATCTCCCGTCCACAAAATGTAATCGATGTCCTGGAAAATTTTTTCCAACGGTAAAGAGAAATCTTCCCCTTCTCCCGATATGGAACGAGAAGATCAAGCACAATTAAGGACAATCGACAAATTTCAGCAACGTCCGGAGATAATTGAAACTCTCTCTCTCTCTCTCCTACGCGCAGGGAATAATTATTAATGAATTAATTTGACAATGAACGAAATTAATTTGAGACCGTGTCATGATCAGTAAATTAATTCTCTATCGGTCATACGCCTATAAAAATGTTTTTCGAGCGACACGAGATTTGCTTCGGGATGACAGACGTCTCTCCCTCTTCATCGTCGTCCTCTAAGTTTCGCCTAACAACGGGTTTAATCGTTCGTGCTGCTCACCGAATGTGTGTCGGCGATGTGCTTGAGCATATGGTCGATCGTTCTCTTGGGCGTGTCGCATTTTCTGTAGTCGCCCCATCGTCCGGCGGCCGCCGAGGCGGTCAACGGGGCACCATTCGTCAGTCTGCAGCAGAGCGGCTCGTTGCACTCGGCATTCGCACCCTCCTGGTAGTACGGATCGTAGTGCGTGTCGGAAATATGCAGGACCTTGAACGTCGGCGCGCCTTCCTGCGGTGGGATCGGCGGCTTGATCGACGGTTTCTTGACCGGTGGGAAGGCCACCTCCCATTCGTGCAATGGGTTGAACGCGTCGTCGCACGCATCGCCGATCACGAAGCTGCAGATCTGCGCTGGGCCCATGTTCACTTGCTTCAGCACATAAATCACCTCCCCCTACGGCGCAGATTTGTTGGCTTTAACACTCGCTAATTAGTAAAAAACAAAAAACAACAACACTTGTGTGTATTTTTGCCGGTTGATAGAGGCGAATATCCAGACTTTACCCCGAACAGCATTGTCACCCCATGACAGACTCGGGGGCTCTGTATGTTGAGCGACACGCAGAACTGATAGATGCTCGCCATGATCTCCTCGTCGCTCTTGCCGGTCTTGATGTAGTGCTGCAGTAGTCCGGCGCCGACTTTGCAGGCGGTGCAAGAGACTTTGGACATCACGGATGTTTCAACCTCCATCATCACTTGCCTCAGGTCCAGCAGCTTCAGAGCCTTATCCACAAATCCGGATAGATGTCCGCTCGGCTGGACCGTTTCCATGTCCCACAGCATCCGCGAGTAATTTAACTGTAATTAAATGTACGGAGCAAAGCTGAAGATTAATCAGCGCGCAAACACGACGTCGTCGTGTTTCATCACGTAAGACGACTCGAGCTGACATTTGAACGCGATCTCCCCGCGTCGCTTCTTGCGAACGAACGCGCGACTTTCTTCCTGCGATCCCGAGTTAATCGAGCATGCATCTCTTCCGAGATCGAAGGGAGTTCCGCGCGCGCGCGAATGCGCCCACCGGCGTTTTCTTTTACGCAAGCGGTGACGAATGGTATCGATGATTGCGCGCGACTTTCGCGGACGAAAGTCATTGACACCGCATTACGCATTGTGTGTGTGCAACACACGAATAGGAAGGATAGAAGATGCATACTTGCATTCGCCACGGTATTTCTCGGTGATCGCCTTGGTGAAAGTATTTTGGCACTGAAAGTGAGAGTCGCGGCGACATCGTCGCGTCTCTCGTCGGACGTCGGGCCAGGAGGAGAGATAAGAAAAAGAAGAAGAAAAAAAGGCAGAGAGACAGAAGAGAAGGCGAGATCGATTAAACGCAATCGCGAGAACGCTGACGATAATCTCGGATTTTGCAGACCGCGAGGCCTTTCGTTATTCCGTAGCAGTATTTTCCACATGAATCAGCCGATCCAACGTAGCTGTTTCTGTTTCAACCATTAATCTAACAGTTTCACGATGCAATTCTTGTATTAATTACGCGCTACATCGTCGATACGTTATAAATGCTTGCGGTTGATGGATGCTTTTCTACGTTAATTTCATGTACCGAGGAGAAATGCGCACGTGGCCGATTAAGGTGTAGGCAAGAGTGAAAATGCATCGATTAGATTTCCCGTTCCTCGCTGTAAAAGCGGAGCGATCGCGAACGAACGTAGAGATCCTTTTTTATCATCTTTTTTCGCTTCGCGAACGCGCGTTACGTCTCATTGATGCCCCATCAATTCTTCCGACTTTATTCGTGCGTCCGAGATAACGACCTCGCACAACGACACGTCTCATAGAGTTTTGATTGGCATCGACAAATTCGAGCGACCCTTTTTCACGATAAGTTACACGTTGAAGAACAAGGTGAATAATTCCAACAATATCGTTCGAGTTGTCGCTGATATGTTTCTCAAAAGCTTACAATAGAACGTTTGCAACGCGCAGTCATTGGCATATCATTGGCATAAGTTCTCGACCAATTTTCATGTGACAAAAAAAAAGGACGGACAGTTTCTCTGGCGGCTGTACCGTTCGCCAGAGAAAGTTGCCGATTGATAACGAAGGAAGGATCTTGCGCAATCCCGTGACAACGCAGATTTCCGGATGGAACACCGATGCAATCTTGCCTCGCGACTTGGCCAACGCGAATGAAAGAAATTCTCTTACCCGTTCCAATTGCTCCAGGCTCGTACCGTTAACGACGAAGGTCTCCGCCGTAGGCGGTAGTTCCCGGAATCTCTCGTTGAACGGCAGCAGAGCGATGTCCATCTTTTCGGCGGCCCTGGCCTTCGCCACGATCCATTCGTCGGCAAGTGCCGTCCAGTTGGTCGAAGCTACCTCCGCTTCCCGTTTCGTCCTGTACCAAATGGGATTTCCTGCGGAAAAACCGGGGGGAAAAAAACACGATCCTTTAATGAAACCGCGAACAATCGCTTCCGTTCGTGACCGGATTCGCGCCAGTCCTTCATTTTCGGCGGTTTATTTGTAGGTTGCGCAACCCCTGACACGCGCGAAGTCAATTTTACAATTTCGCGAAAAGCATCTGTTGCGCAAAAACGGCCGGAAGTGGTAACTGCGTGTTAGCGGCTGAAACGAGCTTTGTGACACGAGTAATTACAAGTTTGCCTGGATGCGGATGGAAATGGGATTCTCTTTCTTAGCTAATACACGATTAATACCATAGCTATAAACTCTTAGTATTAATAATATAAATTCTACTGCATAAAAAATAAGGGCGAGAGCACAGACTTTTGCATAAATGCATAAGCATGAAGAAATTGATCGGTCCAAAAAGCTAATGCACAAGGAAATGGCACAATCAATTTCCTTACGCATATGCTTATGCACTTATACAAAAGTCTGCGCTCCCGTTCCAAATATTTGGCGAATTACAAATTATGGATTGCGGACTAAAGTGAAATTGGTTAAAACGATTTTGATGTAAAGAGAGATGAGAGTTTTCTTTTCTCCGTCATTTGAGCAACATTATGAACTTTCTAGCGGGCGAATATAAAAATAAATGGGCAATCGTATGGCGCGATTCATCGGACCGTTTCACGCGGAAGGAAATGTCCATTTTTCACGCTGCGATTAATCGCGATCGATCATTTGCGATCTTGCAAGATTGTTCGGATAAAGTATGTCGATCTTTCCCATAAAGCACGAAAGGCACGACGTGTCTTGCCTCGGAAACGTACAATTTCTCCGTTACGCTCGGAATAGTCTGTAACCCGCTGTTCACGAGGGAGTCACATAATTTTCCCATGGATATAATCGATCGAATTGCATACAAATCCTAAATACTTTCTCGGTAAAAAGAGGTTACGAGGTTGCGCTCGATGAATCGCGCTCTATTTTTCGACTTAAGGGGATGCTGGAGTGGTTTGATTTACCGACAGAGTCGGATACCGTTTTTGCGTTTGTAAATCTTATTATTTGCATTTATGTACAAACTAATACCAGACCCAAGTGTAGAATGCATAGTTGAACATTTTCATATAAAAAACATTGAGGTTTGAAGTCTAATTCGTATCGCATTATGTATTGCAATATTTGTAATGCAAAATACATAATGCGATACGAATTAGACTTCAAACCTCAATGTTTTTTATATGAAAATGTTCTACTATGCATTCTACACTTGGGTCTGGTATTAGTTTGCACATAAATGTTACATAATTATTTTCATTTGTATCTATAATATGACATATTGAGGTTACGTTTCTTTACAAACCTCCAAAAACTGTATGCGACTCTGTCGGTAAATCATCCGCCGTAAAGTTCGGTCCACTCTCGTGATCCCATCCCGATCTTTTGTATTACGTAAAAGGTAATGTACACATTTTCCATCGTTATCGTCCGCTTTTGTTACGTAATGTGTGTTCTCACCTTGGTATTTACATTATTTAACACGCGTAATGCTCCACTTAAATGCCTTCATGAAATAATTCTATTGTTTGTAAAAAGATCTTACATAAGAAAGGCAGTCGGATTATATTTTGTGTCCAATAAAATCCTGTTTTTGACGTGCACGTACCGACAACAATCCATGTTGAGCTGGTCAGGAAAACACACAATAGGAAGATGCGACTTGATATTCTGCCCTGATTTGGCATGCTATTTAGTATTCTTTGGTATTGTTACCTGCAATCATAAAGAAATATAAAATATAGGAACGTAATGAAAAATTAATTTAAATATCACATGTTAATTAGCTAAGAAAATATAATTACGCGCAAGATACGCGGACGAAACAGAATCGCTAAAAATAAGATCAAATTAACTCAATGTAGTGACGTATCCTGGCATTTATTATACTGGTCACAACGACTTTTCGATCGCGAATTGCGATCCTCTTCAGGTTTTACAATACGTAGGTTGACTAATGTGTAAGCATTTAGTCATATCTACAACTAACAGTGAATAATATCGTAAATTTATAGATTCCGGATTATAACATATTATACATGCAACGTCGAAACGTACAAGTCAATAGATTACAAATTATAACAGATTATACATAAACAGTCAAAGCTTACAAGTCAGTTCATTAAAAACTTAATAGAATTGGTGGCCTTTATATCACATTTCTCGAGCACGATCTGAAAAAGACGTCTAACACACTCGGCACTTCGAAACGTTATGGTAAAAAGGTCAATAATGTTTATAAGATTCTTATTACTTTGTCATACATTTTAGATAAATTGCCTGTGTCATTTTGAAGGTTTATTGTCTTGTTATTCTTTTTAATGAGAACCATTTCAGCAATTTCCCTCTTCTTTGTGTGTTTTTCTCTGTGTAATATTTTAGAATCTTATAAACATTATTGACCTTTCGAAGTGCCGAGTGTGTTAGACGTCTTTTTGAGATCGTGCTCGAGAAATGTGATATAAAGACCACCAATTCTATTAAGTTTCTAATGAACTGACTTGCAAGTTTTTACTGTTTATGTATAATCTGTTATAATTTGTAATCTATTGACTTGTAAGTTTCGACGTTGTATATATAATATGTTATAATCCGGAATCTATAAATTTACGATATTATTCACTGTTAGTTGTAGATATGACTAAATGCTTCCACATTAGTCAACCTACGTATTGTAAAACCGGAAGAGGATCGCAATTCGCGATCGAAACGTCGTTGTGACCAGTAGGTATAATAAATGCCAGATACGTCACTACATTGAGTTAATTTGATTTTTAATACACTGGCAAAGAAAATTCCAATTTTATTTAAAAATAAGGTGATGAAATATGAAAGAAATCAATTTTTTAGCAAATAGAAATTTAAGATTTAAACGCACATGTAATTTCTTAAATTAATAACGCGAAAATATCAATAAAATATACAAAAATGTAATATTCTTAACCGTCACGAATCACGATGTGTAACATAATTAAAGTGAAAACATTTAAAAAGAGTAAAACAACGATGGATTATAAATGTATCGGGGAATCTCTGCTTTAATTGATACCGGCATCGGTGCAATGAAATATCCGGCGAAAACAGATTTAATCATAAATTTTCAGACAAATTTGCAGTAAAATCACACTTGTTATATGTTAAGTATCCACCGTGAGGCTACCCGCTTGTTGAAAACTACTAATCGTCCGGCAAGAATATCCGCGAAAGGTGCATGCAATTACCCGGGAAAAAATTTGTATTCGCCAGAGCGTAACTTGCACTTTCCTCGGTGGCAAACGAGGCGTCGAAAATCACGTCGCGACGCGATCGAGGAAGCCTCGTCATGAAAAGTCACCCGATGTTTTCACGGTCGTAAGTGCCGACCCTTTCACGATCCTTTTGTGATCATTGACACAATATAAATCTTAAAAAAGAGAGCTGTTGTCAACCCAACTGGTAAATTTTATTGAATTCGTTACAACATTTCGACCTTACTTCAGGTACTTTTCAAACAACAATACAAATAAGGAAACAAGAGAAATTCGTAGACAAGCGAGTCATCGTCATCCGTGAGGTGTAATCAGAAGATTACGGAGGTTCAATAATCGACATATAAATCTCATTCACATTTTCGTCTTTCTGATTTCTTGGGAGCTAGCGTCCCACTTAAAAGAAAAGAAATAACCAAGAAATAATTCGATCATGGAAGAATTAATTTCTTTCTCGCGCTACGACGAGCAACACGTTCTCCACGACATATCGCACGTTTTACGTTTGACTTCGGACAAACGTCGTGAAAAAAGAATACTTACATACGTTCATTGCGTACGTTACAGTAAATTTTGGATGGTGAATCTGAGTAATAATAATAGCGTGTAATTCAAGCGATACCAAGATGGGAGAAACGCGCATGAAGAAACGAACGATAATTTATTTTCGGCGTCGCACGTATCCGACCTAGGCCAGACTTAGTTACACCATACCAAAATTTTTATGGGCGCACGTCGGGCCTTGTCGCGCCCGTTACTGTTACTTGTAAGTGGGTTAGCGATGGCACGACGGTGTCCTTCGAATGTGTAGAAAATAATAATGATTCCCGTTTGGTTTGACAGAACGCGTCGCACCGAAGTTAACGGAACCCGTTCGATTCTCCCGCAAGAATTCGTTTACAGTGTTAGCGGATTCTATGTCGGTAACGGAAGTTTCTTCTGGAGATGATTGGGATGTTTCTATCAGCAAAAATGTTAAGTCCGTTTGATTGACCGCACGATTTTTAATTTCACCGTTACCTTGATAAATGTGTATTGTCATTACCGGAGAGAGAGAGAGAGAGAGAGAGAGAGAGAGAGAGAGAGCCCCCCTCTCTCTTCGGTAATAACAATACCCCCCTCTCTCGGGAGAGAGAACATAATTATTTACTAATTATTAACTAATTACATCTATTTTTATATTTCAAAGAATTTAAAGAATAAAAGAAAAAAATATTTAAAGAATTTAAACCATCCTGTCACGGCTCTGAGTCCTTTAAATTCTTTGAAATTTGTGTTGATCACATACGAGCCTTACTAATTTATTTAATTTATTTTTATATTAATTTCTATTCTATTCTGTACTGTCCATTCGGATGTCCAAATGGAGAAAAGGCAAGGGAAATATAACGGCAGCGGACTAATTTAATTTTGAACTTTTCCCACGAAGTCTCGATTGGTAAATGGCGCCGCGGGCAGTTTGACAAATGACGCGTAATTCGCCGAGGGGTTTTATCGAGCAATTTATTGCGAACAGGTCACGCGATTTTGTGAATCACTGTTTTCATTATTCGAAACTGCGGTACCATTGGAAATAGCTGAAGCGGAAATGAGCTGGAGTTGACGGGGACGCTCGTAATGAATTACGCGGAATGAGTTATGTCGTGCGTAGACGTTGCACGTGCGTGTCAAGGCTAAACGTGCCGTTCAAGCGCGAGATACATCTTGGCTCGATGCCCAGCAGCATCTGTGTTTCCCTCTATGCAATCTTTCGTTATAAAGTCATTTCTCGTACAAAATTCGCTTCTATAAAAAGAAACATGTATGTGCAAATTTTACGAGTAAAAAAAAATTACAGTTACAATCACGTGATTAAGTCTTTTAGAAACCTGATTGTGAAGTATTGTAAGAAACATATATTTTTTTGTTCAACGACAACATTATTACAACAACATCGTTGTTGTTCGTGTGAATAGATGTATCATTATACATTTCCGTTGTATGTACAGTAGTAATTCCTAGAAAATTTTCAATTACTTCTGCGATGAAAAAGTCAGAAATGTTGGAGACCGGAAAAACCGAAGTTCGTCTTGCCGCTCTATAATTTCGAGTTGCGTGGTTCGCTACGTCTTCACAGTTCCAATTAAGTTTCCCGGAGCCTGGTAATCTTCTATTTCAATCCAGCGGATTGGAATAGGTTGTAGTGGGTCAGTGAGATCAGTTTCGGCGAAAGTTGCATACGCAACCGCGGGCAGCGAACGGCGTGCGCGCTGCACTTCCGAATATCCCTGTTTTCCGTTTGATCTATTTTCTCTATTCTTTTTTGTCTATCGGTTTTGTTTACTGTTAGCCTTTTCCGTCTGCGTATAATAAAACGACTATGGAAGCGAAGGTAAGAAAGTATGAAATATGTAACATTTTATGTACATAGTTTAATATGTTTGAACGAATAATTCTTCTAAAGCTTTTTTTCAAGCAGACATTACGAAACCACAATTTCACCAATTTATCGCTCTCTGAATTGAAGTATAAATTGCGAATTTCATTACACGTTTATTAAAAGGACACGCCGCGACAGAAAAATATATGATAATTGATCTTGGATTATCGTCTTGCTTTCTGATCAGTAGCTTCAACTTCCGTCGAGGTCCTTCCTTCGGAAGGAGGATATCTCACGTGGATTGTTTTCAAATTTTCGCCGACGTAGAAATTACGAGGCGGCACAGTTAATCGAGGTGCGAGCAAAGGCTGGCCAAGTGGAATACGCGGCTGACCGTTATTTGACCCACCGTGGGGCCCAACGAAAGAAGACTCACTTTAAGCTCGTTTCACACAAACTTACATAAGTTCATGGGTACAGCCAGTCTAGACTGATAAAACATCTATAGCAAAATTACACAAAATTATATAATCTCACACCGATCTTACTTAACTGCACGTTTGTACTCTGCACAGCCGTCTTGTGCGTACGTTCAGTATTGTGCTTACATGTATGTGCAGTCTTTACTTATTGCACTTATTGTACATACATGGTACGTATCGATCCACGCATTGCGATATCAGACACATGCTTTCGACTCGACAGCTGCGTCGTCTGGTACTCGGATTTCAGAGATAGCGATAAGGAAACAGGATTGCGGCACATCATCAATCGAACCCTGTTTCATTAAGCAAGATTCCAGCACGCTAATTGCCCGCGCGAAACGAGGCTGGACCGCAAAGCAAATCTCGTCGACGATCCGTCGCTTTTCGTATAATCGCAACAACGGAACGAATACGTGCAATCAGTGAGGTTCGATTTCTTCTCTGTGTTACATCGCTCTTATTATATATTCAATGATATGTATATTAGTTTTTCGAAACGACACTGGTTTATTTAAAAAACATTGGCTAGTGTAGGTCGTTTCGAAAAAACTACATGTCGTTGAATATATTACTGGCGATACTAAGTCTATTTGTGAGTTATTATACATATATTGATGTGAGATG